ATGCTAGTTAACCAGGAGGGGCCAGGTGACTGGTTCTCTCCTTTTGTAGGGGGTCCAAGAGGTGGGTGGTACCTGTGCCAACCTCTTGACCCACCTACCTGTTAGTCCGTCCCCAAACCAATCCTATTGGTTGCAGGTAGGGAGGGGAGGTTACCTAGGAGGGATGGCCAATATTGTAACCTAAAACCTTACTCGAAGTATTGGCATCTGGACAGGTGTGAAATCCAGAAATCAGGATGCTTCATTGTTGTGCTGATGAAGTTGGCCAGTTCCATTGATAACCAAATGTCCATCTGGCAGGAAATTCCAGCTCAGGAACAAAGCAGTTGATGGGTGATACGTGACCACAGGCAGCTTTGCTGTGGTGGCTGTTTTTTCCCCAAAGTTGTTGATTCATTGCTAACAATAATGGAGATTTGTGCTTCTTCACCAGGCTGTACAACTGTGTTGCTGAAACCTTATTTACATGTAAGGTATGTGCAGACCTCTATGTGTGTCATCACAACAGGTGACCTAAAGTGTACAGTTCTCTGAGCCCATGTGTATGCGCACAGTCCATTGTGTAGCAATAAGCAGTCCATAAAACAAATATCAGGCTTGTTTCCTAACAGGCAAACTGAAACAGATCCAGGGAACTGTGATTTGCTCTTCTGAGAAACTTATATATAAAGATTAGCCTGATATCTGTGCTTTGCTACGGTATTTAGGTTCTGTAAATCCAGTTATAATACTGATGATGTGAAGTTTGAAATGTAATATTTGTTGTAGGAATTCTAATGGAGAAGATTGTAGTGTAAAAAATGAAGTGAGACATACGTTCTGGTTTTTTTCTCTCTACTGAAGGACCTCTCTGTAGACCTCTATAGACCCTCAGGTGCTAGGATTACCAGACTGCTTGCTGAGCTACTCTGGAGCAGACCACATAGAACTATCCACGTGAGAAGCAGTCGTCTGCAATGCTCCCTCTAAGCTGTAGAGTCTTGTGAGCAAAAATTCTACTTTGTAAGCTACTGGGATTAAAGTTGTGAGCAAGTGATTTGGCTGCTGCATAAATAAATTAGTTTGCCCTGGAGCCATCCTTCCTGAATTAAGACAAAAATCTGTGAGCTGGAGGCTAAAAAACTGAGCTAGCTCACACTAACTCAGTTTAGAAGGAACTCTGGTAATCTATTAAGACTTAACAGACAACCAGAGTTCCCTCTAAACTGTTTCAGGATGTTGATGGTCATAGGTGATCTTGCTGGGGCAGCCTCCCTGATGGATTAAAGTACCCTGGCCCTGCTCCTACACCTGACAAACACCTGCCTGTCTGGTATAAGGGGGGATTGTGTTTAAAGGCATCAGGGAGGCTGGGCCAGCAGCAGCGCTAAGGCAGTCCTGCTGAGCAAGCCTCTCTGATGGCTTTAAGGACTACGAGCTCCTTTCAACCCTTGACAGGCGGTTGTCTGACAGGTGTAGGAGGGGTAGTGTGTCTGAAGGCATTGAGGAGGCTGCACCAGCAGGATTGCTAAGGCGATGATGCTTGGGCAGCCTCCCCAATGGCTTTCAATGCTCTACCCCTGCTCCTGAATCTGATAGACAACCACCTGCCAGTTGATGGAGGGGTGGGTGGGAGTGTGTCTAAAGCTTTTGGGGAGGCTGGCCCAGCAGCACTGCTAAGGTGTTTCTGCTTGGATGGCCTCCCTGATGGATTAAAGTACCCTGGCCCTGTTCCTACACCTGACAGACACCCGCCTGTCTGGTGCTGGGGGGGAGTGTGTTTAAAGGCTTTGGGGAGGCTGGGCCAGCAGCAGCACTAAGGCAATCCTGCTGATCTGCTGAACAAGCCTCCCTGATGGCTGTAAACATCCCACCCCCTCTCCTACACCTGACAGGCATCTGCCGTCCAGTGTAGGAGGAGTAGGGGGGTATTGCAAGCCATTGTGGAGGCTGAGCTGGTAGGATTGCTAAGGTGTTACTCCTGGGGCAGGCTCCCTGATGGCTTTAAGCACCCTGCACCTGCTGCTGCACCTGACAGACAGCCACCTGTCAGGTGTAGGAGGTGGGGGGAGTGTGTTTGAAGCCATGGGGGAGGCTGGACTAGCAGCACTGCTGCACTTCACAGGTGGTTGGCCATTCCTGATTTCCTCAACTGCCATTAGCCCTCTGCAGTCTCCTGTGACTGAGTTGTTGTTTTTTCTCAGAACACTGAGCTGACCAGTCAGAGAGTGTGGGGTGCAAGGAGGCAACAGCCTGGCAGCCACATAGAAAGCAATGGGGGGAGCACATTTTACTCCTTTTGCCCCCCCATGGAGCCAAATTTTTAAAAATCCCTTCTTAGTGAGCATCTACATCATGGTAGGAGTGCTCTCCCCAAATTTCATGTTTCTAGATTTTGAGGGGTTTGGCCTGGGCATTGATTTTATGGTGCGGGGACTTTCTTTTATATATATAGATGGGCATGTGTAAGTTTGCAAATTAGGGTTGCCAACCTCCAAGTGAGACCTAGAGATCTCCTGCAGTGTCAACTGTAGAAAAGAACAAGAGTCCAGTAGCACCTTAAAGACTAACAAAATTTGTGGCAGGGTATGAGCTTTTGTGAGTCACTGCTCACTTCTTCATATACCAAAATACCTATCTTCCCCACCTCTCATCTGAGGGGAGGTTGCCTATCTTCCTATTAATTAGATTATTCAGTTCAGTCATGTCCCGGGACAGAAAAAGGGTGCTACTTAGAATTATTCTTATGTGTTAAAGAGCACACCTGAGAAGGCCTATGTTCATGTCTAGGTCATCTAATTATGTGTGTCTTTAAACTTTTGGCTTGGCTGTCTTGTTCTCAGACCTTTCTACCCTTAGTGCAGAATGTCCCTCTGCCATTGGGGGGTGCAAGCTGCCAGTGGCAAAATTTCAACATTCCCCTTCACAATTATTACAATAGTCATATGATCGATTCAGGCCATGTAGCTGTGTTGATCTGAAGCAGCAGAACAAGGTTTGAGTTCAGTGGCACCTTTAACACAAAGTTTTATTCACGATATAAGCTTTCGTGTGCAAGCACACTTCATCATCGGATACATATAGTCATATTGTTGATGCTTTCCAGGGCAACCCTTTTTATCCTTATTTTTCTATTGTTAGCTGCTGCTGCTTCTTCTACTTCTGCTTCCATAGCAGTTTCTGGCATTTTTCATACCTATAGGTTATACCATGTGGAGCTGCGGTGGCTCAAATGGATAAGATGCTGAACTGTAGGCTGTGGAAGGTTGGTAGTTCAGCAGTTTGAGACCCGAGTTGCCGCATGACGGAGTGAGCTCCCGTCTCTAGTTCCAGCTCCTGCCAACCTAGCAGTTCGAAAGCAAGAAATTGCAAGTAGATAAATAGGTACCACTTCAGTGGGAAGGTAACAGTGTTCCGTGCGCCTTGGTGTTTAGTCATGCCGGCCACATGACCACGGAAACGTCTTTGGACAGCGCTGGCTCCTCAGCTTTGAAACGGAGATGAGCACCGCAACCCTAGAGTCGGATTCGACTGGCTTTCGAGCAAGGGAACCTTTACCTTTACCTTTTAGGTTATACCATAACAGAATTTGGTTTTTGGTATATATTTCACCTTTCATGGGATACCCAAATTTGTTTTTCTTTTTATCTGAGACAGAGCCAATGAGCATCATTCTGGTGGTTGCAGTACTGTTTTTTTCTCAGGGCACTTCTTTTGGCTGTGAGCCTCTAGAGGGTAGTGTCATCTTAGATGCCTCCTCCCCTATAGTGTGGGGACCCAGCTGTGGGCATGTGTCTTCCAGTGGCTCTTGGTCTTGTGCAAAATTAGTTTTTTATTGTAGTGTAAACACTCCATACAGTCATGGAAAGCCCTGTAATTATGTTTTCCTTGGATAACAAGGCCCAGGCATTTCAGTGGTTCAGGATTGTGGCAAGAAAGAGAAGGTGGCAAAGTTCTGTTTCACAAACTCTGTTCCTCCTGTGGTTTTTTTAAATTCCTAGAAATTATATCACAAGAGAAAGGATGGAGCTATTGAAATGGTCCTCAGCTAATGCAGAATAAGTGAGCAATGAAGTGTAATCTTAATATCTGTTAATCACTTCCCAAGATATTTAATATGATTTATGAGTTGGCTATGTTTGTTCATGGTGCATATCTGCATATTTGTTCATGTTGCAATTTAGCAAAGGACAGCTATGTATACAATTGATATGGATCCATAGCCTTTGAGAGATGAATCTATCAAGGAAGAAGAAAAGTACATCCCCCTCTAAAGTCCTTAGTCATGCACCACACAAAGCTAGAGCTGCATTGGATCCCTGGTACTCACTAAAATTACAATATTTTGTCAAAGGCTTTCACGGCTGGAGTTCATTAGTTGTTGTAGATTTTCTGGATTGTATGGCCATGGTCTTGGCATTGTAGGACCTGATGTTTCGCCAGCAGCTGTGACTGGCATCCTCAGAGGTATAACATGGAAAGATGGAGTACTCTCTGTGTCGAGGTGAAAAGAAAAAAATTACCTGCCTACCATTTTTCTTCTCACCTCGACACAGAGCGTACTCCATCTTTCTGTGTTATACCTCCAAGGATACCAGTCACAGCTGCTGGTGAAACGTCAGGTCCTACAATGCCAAGACCACGGCCATACAGCCTGGAAAATCTACAACTAATAAATTACAATATTGTTTAGCATTTTAAGCAAATATAACAGTAATCATGCATATCTTAGATGAGTAGTAGAGAACTGAAAATGCAAATATTACATGGAAATTGTGTTATTTCCTAAAATAAGGTTCCAGTATGTCTGGTACAATAAGACTAATTTTATGCATTTCAGAAGCCCCATTGAATTAAGTGATACTTGCCTCTAAGGAAAAATGCAGATGACTGGATTACACGTTACATAACTGCGTAGTTTAGCTGAACACGTTTATTAAGGACATATAAGGAAAATCCAAAAGCAATTAAACTGAACAAGTTCAGGACCTGTGTTTAATTGTTTGTTTGTTTTTCTCTAGAATACACGGAAACAGGAAATGCAAGAGTTCCAGAAGAACCGTTAGAGGAATGCCCAGAGCCTACTTATCAGTCCTGTACTTTGTCTCCAGAAGTTTCCCCATCACAGAAGACTAAAAGTATTATTTTACTTTCTGGCCAGTTACTTCATATTTGAAAACATGATAAAATAATGAGAAGCAAAGTCATTATAAAATTTCACACCTTTGAGCCAAAGTATGCATTTCCCTTTTCACGTGTTTACAAGTGTTCCCCGCAGCCACACAGCAGCTGCGGGGACCTGCTTCTAAAAAAAGGCATCGGGGTTATTTCACTGATTTTGCTGCTCCATGTTGAGTGTCTGTGCACATGGAGCAGAAAAATTGGCAAAATAACTCCCCCAGTGTGGTTTTTTGTGCAGGAAAGATGCTTGGGGTGGACGCAGGTGCCCTTCCGCCCCCTGCAGCACTGTTCCAGGCTCATTTGGGCTCTCCTTTTCTTTTTTAGAAACAGTTCCCCACAGATGCTCTATAACTGTGGGGAACACATGAAAATGTATTCAATAATCACAGGGATCCAAATGCTTTGACTAAGGTGCACGAATGTGATAGCTGGAAGTACTTTCCTACAAAGAGTTCACTTTTAAAAAAACTTGTCACATGGTTGAAAGATGCTGATTGCCATGTGCTGTCATCTCTGTTTATCAAAACTAGGAATTTTACCAGGTGAACTTTTAAATACTTAGTGAAAGAGGGTAGGGATGAAGTGCTATTTGGTAGGCTTTTGTGTAGGCCCACATTGGGGGGAGTGCACTTGCACAGGCCTGCCACAGAGATCAGTTTCAAAGTTTTCTAGCTCTCTAGAAGGTTCAGAGCATTTGGCCTCCCCTTCAAGGTGAGCCAGAGATTTCCCATCCAAACCAGCACATGATGGAGGCAGGGAGATGCTCCTTCCCTCAGTCCTATCTTCGCTCCAATGGAGACAGGACACTTTCTCTCTTGACTGGTACCCCTCAGCCTTTACTGGTAAAATCTCCTCTTTTTGTCTCCACTGTTCTCTCAAAACCTAAAAACTGCTAGTTGTTCTTTGATGCCTCCTAAACTTCAATTCTGCCTCTATTTCGGCTCTGATGCCTAATATTTTGAACTTTTAGGGAAATTCTTAGAAGCCTTGCCTCTTCAAAATGGCTCTCTTTAAAGAATGCTTCAAGCGTGGTCTTGAAATGGCACCATGGGACTGCTACCTTCAGTGCCTTTGCGAGTCCCATGACATTTCTCCCTGTTTGAGACCTTCAGGTGACTCCTCAGTTCCATACTACTGGGCACCTCCCCCACTGCAGTGGTTCTAATACCCACCCACTCCACCAATGTATTGGCTGACGCAGTGGGAACAACAAAGTTTCTCTCCTCCTTCACAGTTCACTCCAGGTCTGGAAGGAAGCTCTAACTCCTGACACGTTCTGCCACACCTTCCTTCCTTGACTCTGTTCACATTGGATCCAAACCCATCAGATTCCGATGAAGACATGGCCCCATCCTTGGTCAGCTCCCATGCTCCTTCTGAACTGTCACTGGCCAGAGCCATAGGTGACCTGTCCCCAGTTTCCTCAGCGGAAGACCTCTGTATTTACCCCGAGTAGAATCACAAGCGGGAATTAAGATTGCTGGGGAAAAGATCAACAACTTCAGATATGCAGACGATACCACTCTAATGGCAGAAAGTGAAGAGGACCTAAAGAGCCTCTTGCTCAGGGTAAAAGAGGAGAGCGCAAAAGTGGGCTTGAAGCTCAACATCAAAAAAACTAAGATCATGGCATCCGGCCCCATCACTCCTTGGCAAATAGAAGGGGAAGTCATGGAAGTAGTGACAGACTTCACGTTCCTGGGATCCCAGATCACCGCAGACTGCGACTGCAGCCATGAAATTAAAAGACGCCTGCTCCTTGGGAGGAAAGCGATGGCGAACCTAAACAGCATGATAAAAAGTAGAGACATCACCCTGCCAACAAAAGTCCGCATGGTCAAAGCAATGGTATTCCCAGTAGTCATGTATGACTGCGAGAGTTGGACTATAAGGAAGGCCGAGCGCCGAAGAATAGATTATTTTGAACTATGGTGCAGTCCCTTGGACTGCAAGAAGATCAAATCAGTCCATCCTAAAAGAAATCAACCCTGACTGTTCCCTGGAAGGCCAGATAATGAAACTGAAGCTCAAATACTTTGGCCACCAAATGAGAAGGGAGCACTCCCTGGAGAAGACCCTGATGCTGGGAAAGATTGAAGGTCAAAGAAGACGGGGACGGCAAAGAATGAGATGGTTAGACAGTGTCATCGATGCAACAAACATGAAATTGAGCCGACTTCAGAGGACGGCGGAAGACAGGAGGACCTGGCGGGAGCTGGTCCATGGGGTCGCGAAGAGTCGGACTCGACTGTGCGACTGAACAACAACAACAACAACAAGCCTAATTCATATCGCAAAGTCGTTGCAGCTTGACATCATAAGCTTGGAACCTACTACATTGGATCTGATCCTGAAGGTGCTATACCATCCCAATGCTGGTCTTGTCACCTTTCCCATGCTCCAAGGCCTCCTTGATATAGCCAAAGGGAAATGGGCCAAACCTGCATCAGTATCTCCCTCAGCCAGGAAGACAAAATATGTACAAGGTCCATGAGGAAGGATGCAATTTCCTTTTCTCTCATCCTGCTGCTAGCTCCATCATTACTGATGTCATCCCAGTCAAGCAGGATTCCGGCTCCCACTCCTCTCTTTTTGATAGAGAAGGAAGGAAACTTGACAGTGTAGGCTGCAAAATTGATACCTTGGGGGCTTTGATGGTACACATGGCTAACTTTAACACCATTATGGGACACTATCAGATGTTCCTATGGGAACAAATCGCTTCTTATGTTGATACCTTGCGAGGAGATAAAAAGACCCTGGCCAAGGTTATACAAGCAGAGGGCCTAAAGCTCAGAAAGTAGCAGCTAAATGCTGCAAGACATATTGCAGATTCAGCCAGCAGATCTATGGCCCTGGCAATAGTGCTTTGCCAACTCTCCTGGCTAAGGTGTACGGTGCTCCCAAATGACACCAAAAAGCAAGTGTTGAAGATTTGCCTTTCGAAGGCAAGGATTTTAGTGCCCAGACTGATGGTGTCTTGGACTGCGTGTGAAAGAACAAGATCACTGCAGTCCTCTCTCCGCTGGTACTTTCTGCTCAAGTATTCAAACCCCTTGCCACATGTGATCTGCCCTTCTTGTGGTCTTGAAATGGCACAGTGGGATGTGCCACATGTGATCTGCCCTTCTTGTCCGACAAGGTAGCCTTCCTGTTAGCAATTACCTTGCTGTTGGCAATTACCTCTGCCCAAAAAGTGGGGGAGCTTAGGGCTCTATGTTGTACTCCACCATTAACTAGATTTGACATTCATCAAACATTATGTTCATCAAACAGTAGGAAGAGCTAGAAAGCTCTGAAACTTATCTCTGCAGCAAGCCTGAACAAGTGTGGTTCCCCCTTCCCCATGTGTGCCTGCACAGAAGACTACTCAATGAACAACAGGTACCAGTAAGTGTAACCTTCTTCTCTTCTTACTTGGACAAACTGCACTATTACTACTACCAAAACTGCTGTGCAATGTTTGAAGAAAGAAACAAAGCTGCAGATACTATGCTACATAAACTCACAATAAACCTACACCCCTCACATTGAAGCAATGTGTTATTTATCTGGGTAAAATCTTAATAATATGGTTTCTGTGAAATGGCTTAACAAGCTGCCTGAAATAAGCTGTAAAACTTCTAACTACCCCTGCAGAGAAAGTATTTCAGCAGCACAGTCTCTGTAGGGGAAAAGGCCATTTGGCATCTCAAACTAAAAGTTAGCATGCTTAGACTCAGTCACTTTGTTTTGGGGAACCCTCAGCTCTCCTCCTTGTGAATCCTAATAGCAATGCTACAGGAGAAAATGTAAACCAAAGAAGGGATCACAGTTACAGGGAATACAATAAACAAAGAACCACTGTGATACAATTGACAAGAACATTTAATAATTCCTACACTTATGACACCGAGCTATATCTGTTGCTGGGCAGCCCATCTGACGCCACCCCAGATGACCTGGAGCGGGCGCTACAGGTCGTGGCGGGCTGGCTTAGACTGAGCCGATTGAAATTGAATCCAATGAAAACGGAGGTCCTGTGCTTGAGTCGGAGTGGACTGGAGGTAGGGATCCCAGCGCCAAGGATTAGGAGTTTGGGAGTGCTCCTGGATGCCTCCTTAACAATGGAGGCTCAGGTAGCAGCCATTGCCAAGTTGGCCTTTTACCACCTCGAATGCAATGACCTAGCAACAGTGATCCACGCAATGGTCACCTCGAGGTTAGACTACTGCAATGCTCTCTACATGGGGCTGCCCTTGCCCCAGATCCAGAAGCTGCAGCTAGTGCAGAATGCCGTGGCCAGGCTGTTGATGGGTCTCTCTACATGGGACCACATCCAGCCGGTGCTGAGGACACTGCACTGGCTGCCCATAGCGTACCGGGTTCGGTTCAAGGTGCTGGTTTTAACCTTTAAAGCCCTATATGGTCAGGGGCCTGCCTACTTGAGGGACCACCTTTCCCCATATGTGCCCCAGAGAGCACTGAGGTAAGGTTCACAATGCCGCCTGACTCTCCCTGGTCCGAAAGAAGCCAGACTGGCTATCACCACAGCCAGGGCTTTCTCAGTGGCGGCTCCAAACTGGTGGAATGAGCTCCTGGAGGACATCAGGGCCCTGCGGGACCTCTTACAGTTCCGCAGGGCCTGTAAAACGGAGCTCTTCCACCAGGCTTTCGATTAGGAGCTGCCACTGATGAGTGTGCCACTGATGAATGTGCCCTAGAACATCTTCTGGCCTGGGACCCTGCTGGATGCTGCTTTTACCACTGGGTTGACTTGGAACATCATTATCATCTGACTTTGTTGGATGCTATCCCTACCATTCGGCCGACTTGAATACTGCCATCATTTGCTGTTTTTATTTATTGATGTTGTTAACTGGGATGTTGTTTTTAACTGTTTTAATTTTGGATTGTTTTATGATATTTTGATCTTGTTAGCTGGCTTGAGCCAGCGTGTCCGGCAAGGCGAGATACAAATAGAAACAATAAATAAATAAATTATAAATTGAATTAGGAGGAAGTCAGTTAATAAATTTCTTATAGTAGCAGCCAGTCCACTTTTTTATAACTGGCTAGAAGCCTTCTTTTTTCAAAGTGGCTGGCAAATGCTCTCTATCTCACGTTGCTGGCTCAATAGCTCTCTAGTAGTTTATAGGAGAAGCATTTCAATATTCTTTGAAATGGAAGCCTTCTTTTTAAATAAGCTAACAAATGCTCCCCACTTCTCAAGTTGGAACTGAAAAAACTATTCTGATTGATTCCTTGCAGCTGCATGTTACATACCTCTTTCTTAAAGGTGTACAACATTGACAAAGTTACCAAGGGCTTAACTCCTATATATTTCATACACTTTTAAATAAATTTGTGTGTAGACTTTAAATGAACTGGGCTCTATTAAATTATCTTATAGTTCCATGTTCAATTATTAATTATTACAACAACTTCTTTTTTATTATCTTCACATTATTCTGAAAACCAACATGATTATTTGGAAAGAAACATGAAACTGAATGGATGATGATGATGATTAATTTCTATATGCTTATTTAACTTTTAACTTGCTTTTGGTTTCATTATTCTTTATATTGGTAGCACATAAGTCCTCTTTCCTACCTGGCTAAAAGCCTTCTTGATAGTTAGGCTGACAAATGCTCTCCATCTCTCAAGTTCAAACTCAAACTGTTACAGCTACATGTTGTATATCCACAGCTGAACTACTAAAACAGGCCCAGTCCAAATGCATTTTGATAACAACGTGAGATAGAGAGCAATTGCCAGCCAATTTGAAAAAAGAAGGCTTCTAGCCAGATATAAAAAAGTGGACTGGCTGCTACTCTAAGAAATTTATTAACTGGCTTGCTCCTAATTCAAACACTTGGAAATGGAACTGGAAGTAAGTTTAAAATGGTTAAAGTTAAAAATTATTAATATATATATTTTAAAATTAAAAATTTTAAACAAAACTATATTCTTTTCAGCTTCATGTTTCTCTCTATTCTAAATGACCATGTTTGTTCTAGGACTATTTGAGAAAATTAAAAAAGAAGTTAAGCTACAAAAATTTGAAGAAAGTAAAAGAGAAGTTAAGCTGTAACTATTTGAAGGAAGCAATAAAATAAGTTAATTTTTATCAAGAGGCTGACACCTTCCAAGAGAACAGGATTACTCCTGAGGAAAATTGGTGAATTACTCCTGAGGAAGATTGCTGAAATGAGTGTATAACTGGGTGCTCATTGAGGATGTTTGACTTTCCTAGGGTTGCCAAGTCACGGCGGAATCGTGTGTCTTTGCAGAATCCGTGCCACGGGGACGGCGAGACGCGTTGCACCTGCCATCGCCAGGACATGACGCTATGCATCGCTCTGGCAACGGGGCTCCAAACAGCCCTGTTGCCAGAGCGACACATAGAGTCATGTCCTGGTGACGGTGGTGCAACGCGTCTCACTGTCCCCATGGCACGGATTCTGCAAAGACATGTGGATCCCCCGCCACGATTTGGCGAGATTTGGGAGTCCTAGACTTTCCCCTGAATATGTTAGAAATTCCTGAGCAATATAGTAACAGTTTTAAATGATATATCAATTGTTCATAAGAATTATTAAATGTTCTTGTCAATTTTATCACAGTGGTTCTTTGTTATACAGGAGAAAATGTGGCAATGTAATGGCGCTTTTGAGCATGTGAAATTTTCCCTTGCTTATCCACAAGTACAACCAGCATAGACAGCCCCTTTATATTTTGTCATTGACAACTCTGCCACTGGGCAGGCAAAATGTGAGGGAATTGGACATCGGCTGTGAGGCATTTGCGAGCTATTTTGCAGAGAAAGTCTTGGCGCTCCGTCGTGACCTCCCCGCCACAATTGATACAGTAAGTGAACTTGAGGCCCCTTGCACGTCTTGGGAGCCGGGTTTAGAGTGTTTCTGCCCACTCAGTCTGGAAGAAGTTGACAGATTGCTTGCGGTAGTGCGCCCAACCACATGCGACCTTGATCCGTGCCCCTCGTGGCTCATCAAGATGGGTCGCGAGGGGTTTCGAGGTGCCCTGCGGGAGATTATTAACAAGTCTCTATTGGAGGGACGATTCCCCGGGGCTCTCAAGGAAGCGATGGTCCGCCCTCTCCTAAAAAAGCCATCTTTAGAGCCGGCCGAATTGGCCAACTATCGGCCCTATTTGGGCAAATTGATAGAGCGGTGGCAATTGGCCCTATTTGGGCAAATTGATAGAGCGGTGGCAACACAGCTGCAGGCATTTCTGGATGACGCTTCTGTCCTCGATCCCCACCAGTCCGGGTTTCGTCTGGGTCATGGGGTGGAGACTGTACTGGTTGCACTGACTGACGACCTCCGAAGGCACCTGGATCGAGGTGGTGTGGCGGCACTGTTGTTGTTAGATCTGTTGGCCGCTTTTGATACGGTCGACCATCAGTTGCTGGCCCGCCGCCTCGCCGACGTGGGGATTCAGGGGCCTGCCCTTCAATGGCTGGTCTCTTTTCTCCAAGGTCGGGGACAGAGGGTGGCGATAGGGGATCAGCGCTCCCGGAGGTGGCCCCTCGAGTGTGGGGTTCCTCAGGGGGCAGTGCTATCCCCGATGTTGTTTAATATCTACATGCGCCCCCTCGCCCAGATTGCCCGGAGCTGCGGGCTGGGATGTCACCAGTATGCGGATGACACCCAGCTGTATCTGATGCTGGGCGGCCAGTCGGATTCCACTCCCGATGACCTTAGTCGGGCGTTACAGGCCGTGGCTGGGTGGCTCAGACTGAGTCGGCTGAAATTAAACCCGGCAAAGACGGAGGTCCTGGGGCTGAGTCGGATCGGTCCGGGGTTGGGACTCCCTCTCCCGACCTTCGACGGGGCGCCTCTGGTGCCAGCGTGGGAGGTTAGGAGTTTGGGAGTGCTCCTGGACTCCTCATTAACTATGGAGGCCCAGGTGGCAGCCACTACTAAGTCGGCTTTTTACCATCTTCAGCTGATTCGGCAGCTGGTTTCCTTCCTCGACCACGATGACCTGGCTACAGTGATCGATGCAACGGTCACCTCGAGATTAGACTACTGTAACGCTCTCTACATGGGGCTGCCTTTGTCGCAAATTCGGAAGCTGCAACTAGTGCAGAATGCTGCAGCCAGGCTGCTGATGGATCTTCCTAGACGGGATCACATCCGGTGGTGGCTCCTATCTGGTGGAATGAGCTCCCAGAGGAGATCAGGGCCCTGCGGGGCTAGCACAGTTCCGCAGGGCCTGCAAGACGGAGCTCTTCCGCCAGGCTTTTGAATAGGAGCCGCCACCACTAGTGCATTACCACCGCACTAGTTTACCATCTACGCCCCATATATAGACATCGGGATGGGGGCATGTACATCTATGCCCAAAATTGCTGCACTATGGGTGAGAACAGGACGTTTAGGGGGTGGCCATCTTGATTTTAGAAACTGTAACTTGGAATTTGGAAAGTAGCTGAGAGGAGCACCAAAATTGTTTTAATGAGGATGTAACTTAATATTTTGTATTGTTATTGTTTTATCTGGCAAATATGCCTTGTAAGCCGCCCTGAGCCTCCGGGGAGGGCGGGATAGAAATGTGAATAATAAATAAATAAATAAATAAATAAATAAAAACTGGAACTAGAAAACAATATAGTGAGCTTAATCAAAGCATGTATCAAACAAAGGTTGCACAATGTATTGTCTCACTATTGATAATTACAACAAGCCCCCAAGCATCTACGACTAGGACTTTTACACAGGCCAGAACCTCATTGCCTTGCATTGGAGAGATCCCAAAGAAAGGTAGAGCCAGCTCAAGGAGAAGAGATGAGAGACCAGCCATCTCAATGCAAATTTTAAATCTATTTCTAGGATTAGGCTGTCAAGCTCAATAGAGCATATTGTATTCCATATTTGGTTTATTTTCTTTGTCTTATTCTGACTAATATTTTGCTTTTTGTGAAGGTGAAGCAGTGACTGGAGAGTTATCAAAGCTATTAGATGAAATCAAACTGTGCCAAGAAAAAGATTATTCATTGGAAGAGCTGTGCAATACAGTATCAGAACATTACTTGGACAATGTTAGCAAAGTATCAGAAGAAGAACCAGTGATGAATGGAAGTCAAGCCAAACATAACATAGTAAGTAAGATGGGATGTAGCATATCTTCTAAACATCTGCATGCCCATTTATGAGCATGCACATATACATACACACACAAACTAATTTTTTAGTGTAATGCAGGCTTTCTTTCTTTGTTTTAATTGTAGCAAAGGGTCTTGGCTCTGTGATAAGAGGCAGGTATTACTACTAGATAAAATGGATTATTTTTTTCCAAACTTTCTGAAGTTGGGTCCATGTTTTAAATTTCTTGTACTTTTAAGACTCTCTACCTTGCAGCCTCAGTCACCTGTTAAGCAGGCAAATGTGCAGAGATTTTTGCACACAGCTGTGTATGTAGCATGCTGTTTTGTGTAAGGCTTTTTTTTTTAACAAAGGGAAGATTCTGAAACAATTGTGTGAGAATGAGGGTTAAAACTAAATAATGGATGAGTTGGATCCAAAGGTCCATGAGCAGAGAAATAGAGAGTAAGTATAAATGGGCAATTTTCACAGTGGAGGATGGTAAGCCGTGGGATACCACAGGGCTCAGTACTGGGTCCAATGCTTTTTGTTCATTAATGATTTGAAGTTGGGAGTAAGCAGTGAAGTGACTAAATTTGTGGATGACACTAAATTGTTCAGGGTGGTGAGAACCAGGGAGGATTGTGAGGCACTCCAAAGGGATCTGTAGAGGATGGGCGAGTGTGAGGCAAATGGGGCCACAATGTGACCAAGTGCAAAGTGATGCACATTGGGGCAAAAAATCCTAACTATAAATACACATTGATGGGCTCCAAACTGGCAGAGACTGACCAAGAGAGAGATCTTGGAGTCATAGTAGATAACTCAATGAAAATGTCGAGACAGTGTGCAACTGCAATAAAAAAGGCCAACGCTATGTTGGGGATTATTAGGAAGGGAATTGAAAACAAATCAGCCAGTATCATAATGCCCCTGTATAAATTGATAGTGCAATCAGATTTGGAATACTGTAAGCAATTCTGGTCACCACACCTCAAAAAGGATATTATAGCATTGGGAAAAGTGCAGAAAAGGGCAACTCGAATGATAAAAGGGTTGGAACACTTTCCCTATGAAGAAAGGTTAAAGTGCTTGGGGCTCTTTAACTTGGAGAAATGATGACTGAGGGGGTGACATTAGAGGTTTACAAGATTATGCATGGGATGGAGCAGGTAAAGAAAGAAGTACTTTTCTCCCTTTCTCACAATACAACAACTTGTGGGCACTAAGTGAAATTGCTCAGCAGTCAGGTTAGAATAGATGAAAGATTAACATATGAAATTCACAGGAGGTGGTGGCAGCTACAAGCATGGACAGCTTCAAGAGGGAATTGGATAAACATATGGAGCAGAAGTCCACCAGTGGCTATTAGCCACATGGTATAGATAGGAATTCTCTGTCAGGGGCAAGCGATGCTCTGTATTCTTGGTGCTTGGGGGGCAAAAGTGGGAGGGCTTCTAGTGTCCTGGCCCCACTGGTGGACTTCCTGATGGCACCTGGTATTTTTGGCCACTGTGTGACAGAGTGTTGGACTGGATGGGCCTTTGGCCTGATCCAACATTGGCTTCTCTTATGTTCTCATGTTCTTATGTTCAGAACTGTGCTTCTGAACTGGATCTTTCTCACACCTTTTCACACTGCAGCTCATCTCAGTCTCAGGAATGCTGCTCCTGGAGGTCAGGGGACTCTCAGTCACAGCTCAAATGCAGTCTGGGTTGCTGCAGTGGGTGTACACATGTGTGAGTTGGGGGGAATCCACAAAAATAGCTCCTACCCTTGTGTGAATGGAAGTTTTCTTCTGTTTGTAGAAGACACCTTTGGATGCCACCCAATATTATCATTTAGTTATTTTATTTCTAAATGTGTACCTTCTTAAATGTCTTAACAGAGCGTTAATAAAACACAGAACAGCTATGAAGCAACAATGAAACTGAATTATTAAACTGTAAAACATCTAAATTATCAGATAACAAATAATCTAAGAATAATAAATTCTAAATATAAAACAGGAGATGATCACTCAGCAGCTAAAATAGTTCCCAAATACACTTAAGGAAGTAATTTGCATTATTGCAGTTCTCTACTGCGAAAAGGTTATGTAAATGAGACACAGCTATGAATAGTTAACTTAAACAAAGTTATACCATGCAAAAATGTAAAACATAAATTCATATAATTATAAAGGTTATAAGTGTGCTTTAAATTAGATATAATACACATAGAATATCTCCTTATATATAATTGAATAGTGGGTGCCAAAGTTCTAAAATGCACTCACCCCCCTCCCCGCAAGGCAGTTGGAATGTCAGTTGCATATGGAACCTTCAAGGTCTTTTGCATATGGAAGCTGATTGGACTTCACTCCATTCCACACCTCATACTCCCCCCCCCCGCAAGGCAGTTGGAATGTCTGGTGGTGTGTAGGTCCCAGGATCATGTTTTAAAAGCTGCCTGGGGAGATGGGGACCTCAGACAGGTTACAGTGCCATAGACTCCACCCTCCAACCCAGCTATTTGCTCCTGGGGAACTATTGTTGCCAATCTTGGCCCAGCACCCATCAAACCATTCTCTTCAACCCCCTGCTGTGCAGCACACTTTCCCCTAGGGTTGCCAAACTCCAGGTGGGACCTGGAGATCTCCCACTGCTACAATTGATTTCCAGATGACAGAGATCAGTTTCCCCTGGAGAAAATGGCTGCTTTGGAGGGTAGACCCTATGACATTATACCTGCTGAGTCCTTCC